CCGCGGGGCATGCAGGTGAAGGACTTTGAGTCGTGATGACGATTCGGGCCACAAGCCACACAACCAATTGCACTGGATACATAGTCGGCGCCGTCAATTCTGAACTTTATGGAGCTGTTGGAAACGAGTGGAATCAGGAGAGGGGACCTATCACATGGTATCCTGATTTCCTTCAATTAGTGTGCGCATTGCACAAATATATCCAAAACACCACTATTTTGCTTTAGGTTGTGCCTTTAATTGGACAACAGGTTACATTAAGAACAATTTCTATGTAGCTTCTCAGTGCAAATTCCGAGAAAAATTCAGGCCGTTTTGCAAAAGTGGAGGGTGAGCAGTGTCGATTTCGTTTCTCGATGTCTGGAGAGGAAGTCGCAAAGTACAGAAAGGCATCTGTCTGTTTTTTTTTTTTTTTTTTTTTTTTTCCTTTTTTTTTTTTTTTTCCCCCGGCTGGATATTTCTTCTGGGACTAATAAGCTGGCGCTTGGCCGTTGCAGGTTGACGGTGCGGTTTGCGAAGCTATACATACAGGCAAAGGAGGGTGTCGTGACTTCCGTGCGACTTAACTCAAAGGGATCACACTGGTCAGGTGCGCGCAAGTCCTGGCGCGCACAATCATCGAATGCGCTGCGCCAGAGAAGCAGAGTACGGACGCGCACTGTTCAGTCAATCTACATGTCGCAGCCGTCGAGGATGGCCGTTGCTGTCAGTCGCCGTCACCCGCAGTCCTCCCATCGTAGCACGTCACCGAACATCGTAGATGCTCTACCGGGCATGGATGCCCGAGATGAACAGCGGGACTGCTGCGACGTCACCCCCGTAAGGACAGCTTATGGGTTAGACCCCGTGAGAAGGGTTGTACTCCGCATTAATCGCAGCTTCTTGTATTTATTCATTTGTAGTATCTTCTTCGTAGTTTCAAAATATGAATCTATGGTGCTTTTATTTCTTGTATTGTGTTGCAATATCTAAAAGCGGTTACACCGCAGCGTACCTACGTTACATGTACTAGTCATGTAAAGTATTGTGATGCCCGTAGGCCGGGCCAGGGAAAATCATCGTATACCATAGGGCCAAAGAAGATAGAGTCATTGGGCGTATTCGTAGGCAAGGTAAGCCTACAGAAGGTCTTGTTTGTCGTAGTACATCGGGGCGCTAGGGCCTACTTAGGCAACCCGCACCCCCCCCCCCCCCCCCCCCCCCCCCCCCCCCCCTGCGTGGACAGTGGCGACAGCGAGCGCAGCGTAAGACCCCGATTCAACACTCACGCCAACATGACGCCGCTCCTAAGCAGGGTTGACCCCATGCTTCTGAGCTTATGCGAGGAGCAAGGCGTCCGACAGAGGGATTCTGCCGGCGCGACGGAGGGATTCTGAGGTTGGGATGCCGACTGAAGTCACCGGATGTGGGAGAAATGCTCGTCAAAGCTACGCCAGTTGCAGAACCACAATGAACTCCCGGACTTCCTCACGGATAGCCACTACATTAGAAAGACGATGAAGGAGGTCATTAAATTGTATCCACTTGCCCCCCCCGCAGGTTGGCAGATGTTCATGCAATGCAATGTTCACCCTCCCTTTTTTTCGTTTCAAGCTAATATAGGTGTCTTTCCGAACGTCCGCAAGCGCTACGCTGGTACACATGAAGCTGGATACAGCTCCTCATTAGGTGGGGTCAAAAACACTGAATGGGTTTACCGCCACTGGCCGTCAAAACTTTGCCTGACCCTGATGCGCTTAATGTCGGTGTGCGAGGTTCTCACTCTACGATCGGCAGTATAGCAAGACAAAACAACATTGCAAATCATCGCCCCAGCACGACCGATCATATCCACACGTCCGTGAGACTTATTGAAGTTTCACAAAGGTGCATAGCGCCACTTTCTCCCACGTTTATACAGGCTTTCTATTTGTAAAGATGGAAGCGGTTTTCGAATCCACGGGCGACCAGTGGGTACCTGCTCAGCACGTGAGGATCACGAGTTCTGCAGCAAGTTTTAGAATTGATTCCACACAATAGGATGTAGCAGTTAAAGCTCAAGCATGAGTCTGCAAGTTTTATATGAGTAGATTGAAGAAAAAAAAGGCAAGAAAGAAGCAAAAAAATTAGCCGAAAAAAATGAACAAAAAGAAACGACTGGAATACTGCTACTTTTATAATCTGTCCGGCATAGTTTTCCTTTTCGGTACACGAAAGTTCATGATCTGGTGCGAGACTTTGGCGACAGGAACGAGAGAATGGGATCGGAGAGACGCAGAGACCAGTGTGGAATAAAATGTATGCCAGATCTTGGTGGTGAAATGAGCCGTGCCACGTACCCTGAGACCGCTGGCCTGGCGCACCGATACGTCTACAGACCACACTTCAGTAGGAGGCATTCTTCCACTCAGGCGATTGCGGAATCCACCTCTTGTATCAGAATTCGCCAATTCACAATCGAAAGGGCAAAGAACTGTGCCCTAGTTGTGGAATCATTGCAGGAGAAATTTAAAAAGTACATAAGCAAATCACAACTCCATACAATTACTGCTACAGATCTTATTGGGGTAGAAATATAGGGGAGCAGCATATTTGTTTTTGTTAATATTACGCCTGTACGTACGTATTCTCTCTAAATTTTGATTGAGCGTCCCTGTATGCAATCTTCCGGAATGTATTCTTGATAAACATACTCTTCGTAAAAATGATACAGCTACCCATAAATTATCAAAACAGAAGCGGCATGAAAACACGAAATTCTCCTCCTTTCACGAAAAGGTCGCTTTGCTATTGGTAATGATTGTGCAGCCACTCCAGTTTCGTATAACTTCGTATAATGTATGCTATACGAAGTTATTACGTGATTGTTATCGACTATTCTTCCATAGGTAAGTTATTACGCGTGAGTAGAGGACGTATGAGAAACTCCAAGGTCATGCTTCGCTGAATAATGTGAAATTTACTGCGAAACCAAAATGAATCGAGTTTCAAGAAGTAAATTTGCTCAACTAGAGCATTGGCAGTTCTTCGACCTTTATTTACAACTACTTTTCTTCTGTGTCTTGCTGCTTTTCTTCTCACATGTTGTATGATGATAAAGAAAGCATTCGCGAAAAAGGAAAACATCAAGCGAGAGAATGCAAACACCAAGATATGAAAAAGCAAACGAACTCTTCTTTCACTAAGTCGCTTCGACTTTTGGAAAATTAGCCTCGTATTAGCCATGGTTATCGTAAATTGATGCCAATCTATTTTATCAGCCGAGCCATAATCAAAAACTTAAGCACTACGCTAAACAGCCTACTGTTGAAACTTGATTTCTGATGTGGATCCGATCGGAGCAAGACTCGGTGAACTGGATCCTTATTCTTTGGAGCTGATAAGATGAGCGTTGGTGTGGGCAATGAGCGCATCTTACTCAAGCAACTCAGTGTACCACTACGTGCTGTAGTGTGCGGCTTCTCACATATACGTTATCGCACTTGAAGATTAATATGCGGCGAACTTAAGGCAAAGCTCTAGGTAAAACTGGTGTATATGTGCTTTTCGTAATGAACACTGAGCTGAAAAATGAACTGAAAGTGGAAAGGAAAGCAAGAGAAATCATTGAAACGCTAAAATTAAGGCCTTAACCTTCAGTAAGGTCGGATGTGGTACGATGGCGAGACAGGGCGATCAAAGAAGACAAAACACGCGAGAGAGCACGCTGATCTCTATATCATAGCGGTGGGTGGGAAGCGTTGCAGCGAGGGTCGATGGTTGCAGGTTCGTAATGGATTAGCGCCCTAATCGCGCAATTTGGGCAACGAAGCTGGCGTGATCTATGTAGGTACGTACCCCACAATTTCCCTCGTGGTATCCTTCCTTTAGTCGGGCTAATTCCGTGGTTTTCCTTTAAGTTTTACCCTTGACGAAAATAGTCTTCTTTGATATAACGACGCTCCGAATACGACTTAGTTACACTTACTTACATGAAGAAATTCCTTTCTTCCTTTCTCAACTTGTTCATCTCTATCTTCACTCGTCTCCTCCCTTTTATTCGTTCATGTGAACACCGTCACCACACCTCGTCGTAAATCTGCATATCGCTAACAAACGCGCACAAAGAAATCTCATTCAGAGCGTGCCAACGGTTTTCATCCATCTTTTCTTCATTGCCGGACCACTTGAGTGCTACAGCGCCCTGAGGAAAACCGTGGTGCGCCTCTTCGATTTCGACCTCTAGATTCACCGATTCTCTAAATTGGGCAAAATCGTTCCAAAACGGAGAGATCGGCTGAATATGTGGATATGTGTACTACTTCTGATGATTGCTCGTGGTATCGCCGATGAGACGACTCAGGGAGGGAATCATGGAATGGATATCGCTGAACGCCTAGCGAAAACGCTACCACGATTACCAAATGTGATTCACAGTCAAATGGAAGGCAAACCTGAGGAACTACGGTAAGTGACGCATTCGGAGTCCTTGGCATTCAAGCAATAAGTGGGATTCGAGCATGTAAGCCGTGTAAGCCGCTTGACGCGGAACGCGGCGAACAACCGTACACACTGTAAGCGCGGATGAGGGAAGGGTTAACCGTGCCTTGCTCATATTTCGAAATTTTTGCGACCTCCCCCTTCTTTCGTTGGGTATCGTACGACTCCATTGTACCACCCTTTTATATCTGTTCACATACTTTTTTGCCCAAATTGATGTATGGGCCGTCATCCACGTGGAAAGAGGAGGTGGTCAGTGAGAAGTTAACACGTCGCGCACTTTGTCTCGCACAGAGAAAGGGAGTTGAGACAAAATGAGATTTCTTCCATTAAATGAAGGTACTTAAAGTTGTGCATGTACACGGATAGGTTTGTAATCGCAAAAAACTACACCTTCAGGAAACGACTAATTTTCTCTAAATCTTCAAGCCTTTTTTATGAAGTGGAAAACTGGACCTTTAAAAACACGAATGTAAGTACAAACCTCGTTCAAAAGGCTATATCTTTCCAATTTGCGTTATTATGAGATGGGATACCAAAATTTCAGAACTAAATTGTTTTCTTTCCAAAAAGTATTCAAATGTTGCAAATGTTCAATTTTCAAAAAATCGTCCCGTTGTTCCGTTTTTTGTGCACACGCGAGTTTTCGACATTCAAACATTCATAACTTCATCAACTTTTTGCAAATGTCTAAGGCTTAGAAACTAGAAGACTAGCACTTTCGAAAAAGCACTGAAACATTTCCCAAGAGCCACTCTTTCAAAAAACATCTCGTTTTTTCATCTATGGCTTTTTCGAGCCATCCTCCTGAAACGCGAATTTTCAAGCTTCGTTCGCTCATAAGTTCCTTCAAAATTTGAATGCTGAGAAGAAATAAAAGCTTTGGAATCAACAAGATCAGTGCTTCAAAGAGTATGCCAGATTCTCTTGTGAAGCGCTAGAACGAAGACTTTTTTGCTAGAATTTTCACATAGGACTCGATAGTCAAGTCGCCGAATTCGATACACTCTCCTCCCCCTCAGTTTGTTCTGAAAGCAGTTCTCTGGAAGAATATATTTGCTTGCGCTCACCGCTCTGGAATATGCAGTGACTCAATGAAAACTCCTCAATCGTCTATGATTAGCAGGCGTAGTTGTAATTGAAAGTCTGTCCTTCTTTGCCACTTTGCAATGTCTAGGTACCTTCAAATTTTGTGGCTAGTACTTGAGCTATGACCCCTTCCATTGGCCAAATAAATCTCATAATTGATCTTTACGTAGCGTGCGGCTGACCCATGTGAGGTTTATTCGTCACGGAGTGAAACGGAGGTAGTTGTGTTCATACAGCGTAGGTGCGCATGGATGGCCTAGGGTGTTAATTTTCTTGAAACTTTCACAAAATTCGCAGTCGTCAGTGCAACGATGGCATAACCGAGCGAAACCATCCTTTCACATTGATTACTGAACCACTGATGGGCACTACTGATGGGTTGGGAGGAGGTATAGGCTGAAAAAGTGCCTCCAGTGGCCTCGAAGACTTGCGGTTCATCGCTGATGTCATTAAAGGAATCTTCCACGGAAGACTGCTTCATTCCTTTTCCTTGTGTACAGGTGTTGGGCATGGTCATTGAAGACCATATGCAAAGTTCAGAGCGAAAATGATGAAACCCCCAAGAGAAACAGCCCCTGGAAAGACCCATCTGTGGGACCGGATTGGACCAGTAGGCGGGACCGGAAGTGCTTCTGTGACGAAGTGCATGGCAGGTGCGGATCCACGTGTCAGTTTATGGGAAGGGTCCAATGAATCCTGTTCACGTTCACGCTTTTGACACGTTTGCACGTGTTGACTCCACGCCGCTAACAGTTGTGGAAGTTTTACAGCGGGAATTCAAATTTTCATAGTCGAACTGGTATTATCATAATTATTATCAAAACCATCGCCTATGTTTCCGTTCTTTTTGCTATCTTCATGAAGCAAGGGGCCTAAGGTATCGTTTTTTGTAGAATGGAAGGCAATGTTTTTTATTTGTGAGGGCTCCTTTAAATGCATTAATATGGGGTCTACAATCGGGCCCACCACGCATTGCGCCCTCTGGCGAAGCTGCAACGACGCTCTGCACAGTGACCATATATATGAACTGGCACGGCCGCAACAAGGCTCGTGTCTCCCACTGTACCACAAGTTATGTATTTTGATCATAGAAATTTTTTCGATGATAATTTTATTTACAGAGAGATGATATCACAGATGCTCGGAGATGGGTTGATAAGTCAACTTGTGGTGAATCCTCTTGGGGTAAGACTAGAAACATTAATCTAAAATTCCTTTCTTTGTTATCACAATTCATCACGTTATACGTGTGAATGCTGATAAGCTATGGTAACTTCACCATCGAAGCTGAGTTGGGGTGAAATGGTGCCCCGGTGGTGTAACTGGTAGCACACTTGCCCGGAAAGCAAGAGGATGCGGGTTCGAGTCCCGCCTGGGGCGAAAGTTTTGTTCACAACCCAGCATTCTTGTGAAACATTCGCAACGCGAACTGCGGCGTAAAACAGCAGTTATCCAATAAAAAACAAGTCCTTTTTTGTGTCCTTGATAATCGCTCGTCGTATTGGAAAATAATGCAAGATGAAGAAATAGACGTAACGTGGCAAATTTTAATCGTTGTAATTACAGAAGAAGTCAAGTTTCATAATAACTGGAAATAATTCAGGTAGCCGAAGGAATGGGAGTGCCGTTGAGCACGTTGGGAATCAACAAAACTGATGTTGAGGGCCGATTTGGCGGGGCCCACTCAAACCGCACATTCAGTGGAGGCCTGTTTCCGTTGTGAGTACTTTGGTTGAAAGATGAATTACAAACCTGTTGGTGCTCTGCACGTGTTTCTCTATTCACATTTATCAGGGTTTTGGGTGGGGATTCTCATCTATCAAGAGAACGATCTGAAACATTCAGGAAGAAGATTTACATGGAAATTATCAGGGACTTTAGTAATGTGGCTTCAGCTGCTAGCTGTCATGTGACCATGAGCTCGTGGTAACCTGGTGATGGTTTCCATCCGAAGTTTCCTAAAACATGCTCTGGAACCCCTCCGAAGATTCCCCGTCAGAATGGTCGAAGTGAGTTCGAACTCACTCGGAAGTGGGGTGATGACATCACGTGGCTGTAAGAGGATTGGCAGGGTGGCCATTCAAAACTAACAACGATGGCGGCAGAGAAACTAGAAACAGTGCGAGACGCAGGCATGCTGCCACCAGAGTCAACCCTGCGTTGCGCAGTTCGCAACGGCACGTTGAGAGATCCTCAACGCACGCTGTATGGGCGGAGACGCAGACGGCTCGAGCATGCGAGTGTGAATGTTCGCGCGAGAGAACGTG